TGTGTGTGTGTGTGTGTGTGTGTGTGTGTGTGTGTGTGTGTGTGTGTATAATAACATGCATGTTTTTGGTGACAGGACCTCCTGGATTTTCTTCCTGCTGTTCAGCATTGGAGCTTCTTCACCAGTTAGAAAAGGTAAACTTTAAACTTGTCCTGATTTGACTTTCAACTACTAAATGGAACCGAATCCAAGTTTTTAATTTTAACATGTGTTCAGGTCGGACTGGGTCTGGTTATGGCAGTTATTTGTCTTCAGGGATCCTTCCTGGATATTCCTCCAGCAGTGGGTCCTATAGTGGCGTCTCTTCTCGAATCAACCATGGCAGATCCTTTGATGAAAGGCTTGCTCTAATGATTAACGATATGATGCACCTGGGGCCAAACCGTGTCTCCATGGAGTCTCACTGGAATGTTGACCATATCCCCCTGGGTATGATTCAGGAACCTGACGTGGTGTACCCATCATCCCACGTCATCCATTCCAACAGTGGCTACCAGCGAGCACGAGACTCTCATACTGACAGCAAATACACCACGGAGACTTTCGGTGACATTTATGTTCCTGGAGTCCCACATGACCACCATGACCGCCACCCAGGAACTGGATCTCATTGGCCCCAGAAGACCCGCTGAGGTAACTCCTCCAGTCGGAGCTGTTGGGCAGATTGATGTCTATTTCCTGCCGTTTGAACTAAACTTGGACGTTTATATTCTTGATGACGAATAAAGAAACTTCTAAAACTGACTCTGGTTTTCTATATTTGTAGGCAATCAGGAAAACGAGTTGTGCTTGCTGTCAAGGCAAATGTCTTACAATTACTGGGTATTGAAAAATGACTCTCTGCAAACTGTTAAACTTTAACATAAAATACAGTTTGCTTCTCTTGTTAAATTTGACGTCTCCAGCAAAACTTTTCCCCTCGTGGCATTTTCATTGCATTAAACAGCTGTAGGTCCTGGCTTTAAGATTAACTTGTAATTTGTGTTTTTTTTTTTTATTTTTTTTTTTTATTTTATTTTTTTTTAAAACCTTTCAAGGACCCAAGTCGGCAGTTCCACAATGCACTTGAGCAAATTGTGAAGGGACTTTCAACCAGTACACAACCTAAGCTGGCATCTTGCTTTAATGTAATTTAGTGATTCTGTGCAAATTCACTAAAACCAGAGCAGTTAATTCTAAATGAACTGGACTGAAAAGTGGTGTAGATGAACAGATGCAGAGACATATTCATCAATTAAAACGGATTCCTCATTTTTCTGGACTGAATAAAACGTGCATTGAATTTAATGAAATGCAAACGTGAGACGTCATTTATCTTTGACCCATCAAAATGAATGCGGTCATTTATTTACAGAATCAAAGTTTAACATCAAACATTTACATTAATTTGGCAAAATATGAAAATAACAATCAGGAAAACCATACGGCCATGATTTTCTGTTGCTTCACCACAGACATTTATGAAAACTGTACAACTATGATCAATTATCCACACGGCAGTGGATGAGCACTTTACACAGACATTTCTAAAATATCTGGAAGGATTTCTACTTGAGAGAATTTAAAGATGGGAAGGAAGTTTAAAGGGAGTAAAAGATGGTATGTGAGGGGAAGTGTTGACCAGAACCGACACTCTCCATCAGAACCCAGCTTTCCTCGGTACGCTTTGGTAGGAAACTTGACTCATTACCTTTCTGAAGATTAATCAGCAGATATGGAGGTCCAGTTAACGCTACCTGTCCAGCGTCTCCATAGGATGGCTGTGACTCGTCCGAAGTAGTGACGAGATTCCGTCCGACACCAGCTCACATCAGCAATAGACTTCACATGAGTGGGGTCCTTCAGAAGTTCCACTCAGAGGTGGAGGATATTATAATCCAACTCGGAGGAGCCTTATCATGCTGGACTTCTGTTCTCCCAAACAACTTCTCAGCGCAGAACTGAACTGAGAGAACTAGGAAGTACCGGCATTTTAAAGAGCTCTATTTCCGGTATATTTGAGCGTCCCTTATTGGGTAATATCAACCAGACAGGGGTGTGTTTTGTGATGTCAGAGGTTACTAGAAGTCAGAAAAGAGCAAGAACTGTTATGGAACAGATTAAACTGTTCTCAGAGACAGAGTGAGTTTGTTTTGGCGAGTTTTAGAAACAGGTGCCAACTCCGTTGACGTCTGAGAGGATGTAAACAGGACAGTTGTTCCAACACATGTCTGCTTCGACTCCTGACCTTGGAAAACGCACACTTGCTCATTCAAAGACAGAAATCAGAAAATGCATAAAAATCTGTAACAGACCTTAACATGAATTCTAACTCTGCATAAGCATTAAAAATCATTACACTGTTTCACAGTTAATAAAATTGATTAGTTCACTGCAACATCTAAAATGGTTTGAACTAAAACACTTTGATTATCAACATTTGTAAAATAGTAATGATAATAAAAAGAGAGTGTTCTTTCACTTGATTTTCAAGAAAGAGAGTCTCAGGATGGGTGAACCTGTATTTCTGGATTCAAATCAATGAAATGACAGTTCCTGTCCCACAAGGTTCTTAAGGTCAAGGGTTTTGACCTTAGGCTTAGTTTTGACATCAGGTTAAGTTCACTACAGTGGCATATTTAATTCCCCCCCCCACACACACACACACACGCACACACATTTTAAATGCTTGGATTATGCTCATGACATTTTCTAATCCTATTGGTCAGCTAAGTGTAAAGTGCATGGAAAGCTGGTATCTGTATATCAACTGATCCTGGACCAAGGTTTTAATTTTGGCCCCGTACGTAACGGCGTTTGACACCCTGGTGTACAGGCTGCAGCTCTCTGACCAGATTAATCTGAAGGTTGTTAAACCTCTTCATGATGTTGCCCCACATCTGTCTGACCTGCTCCGGCTGTACGTTCCCTGTCGCTCTCTAAAGTCCGATCGTTCAAACGTCAACGAGGAGGCAGAGGAGGCTGAGAGGACGGAGAGTTTTCACTCGCTGGCCCTAAACTGTGAAACGCCTCAGACTCGCTTCCTGTTTTTAAATCCTCTCAAAACACTTTTTTCCTTTAGACTTAACTCAAAATTTGTAATTGTTTTGACCTGTTTCTTTTAATAGTTTCATGTTTTAATTCAAGTCTGTCTTTTGCCTCTTATTGGTGTGCAGCACTTGGGTTGTTTTTAAAGTGCTTTATGAATAATGGGCTGTATTAATGTAACGTCTTCAATGTGCTTATCCTGAGTCCAGAGCTAAAATGAGATTAATGTTGTGCTTGTTTGTTCAGGTGTTACTGAACAGGGCTGAGCTTCATGCTAATGGCCTTCAGAGAGTATTCATAGCCTTTCCAGTGAAACCAGTCCACTCCAACAGCACGGAAGTTGCTGTGTGCCCCCCAGAGGTAAGCTCCATTAGGGTTAGCATAGTGACAGGTTTTGTACCAGAACGCCCCCTGATACGATCTGGCACAGTTGCCCTGAGGAAGGTCGAACGTGACAAACTTTTGCTCGCTGTGATACGTCAGAGAGTCTCCTGCAGAGAAACACAAACAGAACGACGTGTTTTATAAAAAGCCGAGTTTAGCACACGAACACTTTCTTACAAACTGATCACCAAAACTGTAAAGTTAGACAAAGAGAAAAAATCTTGATAAACGAGCGATGATCTGTCATCATGTAATTTGTTATTTTAATTAAAAAAACAAATGTTCATTTTAATCCTCTTTCATTATTTCGTCTGTGGAAATCTCATTTGGCTGCAGAGCTGTTCACGTGAAAACATAATTGTCGTTGAATAAAAATCACTTGAATGACCAGAACCATGTCCACGTCAGCTTTTCTACTCTGATGTAAATCTGGATGTTCCCACCTGCCCCTCCATCGGTGAACCCAGACACTTTGAGTCTGTAGCCGTCAGATTCTGGTCCGATGGAGAACGAGGAGTAACGAGCGTGCGCCTTGTTTCCTTCAAAGTCCTCCATGTCCACCAGCAGCTCATAACTCTTCCTCTGGGTGAGGTGGAACAGGTTCTCCAGACCTTCAAAGCAAGAGACATGTAGGAACTCGTCTCAGATTTCTCTGGTTCTGTGTCTGTTCTGAAACCTCTGTTCTTGTTGGCGTCGGGTCTGCTTTCTCACCGAGCCAGAACTCTCCTGCAGCGTTCCCGAAGCCCCTCTTGTACTCGGCCCAGTTTCTGTAGAAGTTCACCGAGCCGTCCATCCTCCTCTGGAACACCTGGCAGCCCAAGTTCCACACCACAAGTTTAGACCACGTCAAAGCTCAAACTCAGACTTTCTGCAACATCATGGAGACCGAGACAAGAACTAACAGTAAGAACCTACACATTTGTCTCAACTGAAGGTTAATGTGTCCTTAAATAAATAAAAGACTCTGTGTAAAGTACCACCATGTGTAAATGGTAAAATAACGCCTTTCTACCTAATTAAGATGCTCAAAGTGTTTGTTTGTTTGTTTACCTTCAGAAACAGCCGAACTTACTGAAAATGTCCAGCAGAGGTGTTTAATCCTGAATGCTCTCATTCTGGACTAATCCCTGATATTTATTCCTGACTGTTGTTTGACTCGTTCTTTCTGTTTGGTGTTCAGCAGCAGTTTCACTCCATCGTTACCTTCTCAACTTCTTCTCTGAACTTGTGCACTCGTGTGACTCTGCCCTATTTGTTTACTTATAAAGTACATCCCGATGACGGTCGGTCCCGTGACTCACGCTTCCACATGGTGCTTTGTGTACACTGAGTGTGTACCCTCGTTTCAGAAGTGCAAATGATTATGTGGAGACTTACAGGAGTGAACTCTGAAATGACACCAGTTGTTGAAGTTTAAGCTTTTTTTAATGTTTGAGTTCATGTTTTGCTATAAGCACCTTAAAAATGTATATTTTTGATACATTCAGGGTTAGTTGTGCTCCAGTAAAACGGAAATAAATACTAGAAAGTTCCATTAGAAACTTTGACAGGGCCTGCCACGTGGTGCTGGGATTCACTTTCAGCTACTTCCATACCGAATTTCAGCTCTTAAGTTTAAAAAAATCAGTGAGTTATAGTCATTTTTTCTTTGAAGCTATGGTGGCCATCTTGGATTTTTGATTTGGATTCAGTATGTGATGGGGAACATTCTCAGCTATAACCACATCAAGTTTCAGCTCTGTGTAAAAACAGCTGCGTTGAAGCCATTTAAATTCAGTATTTACTGGGCATTGCTCTCAGCTGCTATCACACCAAATCTCAGTTTAATATGTCTAAAAGTGGCTGATCTAACCATAACTCCTACAGCCACACCAGAAATACTGGTGAAAAGATTATAAAATGTCTACATTTTGATTTATAATATGTATTTATGTATTTTAAAAGATGTGGTGGTAGGAAGAGTTTGTTCGATGACATCCTGAGTTTTGTTCAGACCTCTTCACTCTCGGTCATGTGACCTCCCTGTGGTCGTTAGAGGCTGTTGTTCTATCAGTGTTTGCCATTGGGGAAAAATGGGCATCTTTGTTTGCAAATTACGTTGCCATGGTAACTCGAAAGGCCAATAAAAGTAACGGCACACATCACGACGCTGAGCCGGTCATTTTGATATAAAGTTTGTGGGGGTACACGTTGTGGTTCGGGCTACATTAAAGTTGAAGGACGTGGATAATAACAGGTGGACTGTACCCCCCCAAACAAAAAGCCTTTTGGATAAAACCTCCCTGATCAGTAACGGGCTGAAATACTCACCGTCCACTTTCTCTGCAGGGAGTCCATGTCACAGAACACCTGCACACAAACAAGACTTTAGGTGAAAACTGATGAAGCCGACGCTGCTTCGTCTTCAGATCAATCAGAGGTGGCGAACTGGAACCTATCGGGTCCAATCAGTTTCTGTCTGGGTCCTCCTGACTCCCATCAGGACTGTGGAGAACATGAACATGCTGGACTTCCAGAGTTATTGACAGTTATTAGTTTGATGAAGACAGGAAGTGGACCTGGACAGCAGAAGTGGCTCCGATTGGATAGATGACGTAAACTCCACTGGGTCGACTGGTATCTTTGGTAAAGATGTCACTGCAGTCCAGCGGGAGGACGAGGTCTGAACAGCTGGCCAGCAGAGGAACCAGGAGGAGCGACAGCAGCTTCAGCTGATTTCAGGACAAACGGCAGAGTTTCAGACGGTTGTACAGCTCCAGCCCAGAAACAGCAGAAATGTTAGTCACTTCCTGAAAACAACTAATTTAATATTTGCTGGATTCTTAAAGGGAACCGTTTTATTTAAGCTTATCAGACTTGTGGTACAAAAGTTGTGTATACAATTTCATTCCACCTCATGTACCACATGTGAAGCGAAGGACAACAAAGAACCTTGAACCTTAAAAAGCTGAATATTTAAACTCACCTTCATCGTCAGTTTCAGATCTGATGAACATCTGATGCTTCCGAGCTGCTTTTCAACCTCTCAGATGAATGATTAACTGAACCTCAGTGTCTCCGGGAGTCGGTGATCTACATTTTAAAGACTGACCTTCTGTTGGAGTTTAAACTGTTTGTTTTTAAGACTCGTTCAGCTCTGAAGGTCCAGCTGTATTACACAAAGTCCAGCTGCAGTGAAATAGTGAAAAAGCTCAGATTGCACAAGAACATATTGATCCTTCAGGGAACACGGCATGGACGTTGGATCCAGCTGTAAAGTCCCAGAAGACACACGTCCAACTCAGGCCTCCATCATCTGTCTTCTCTAAAGCCCAACAGGACTTTAGAACTTCCTTTTATAATAATCTGATCTGCCAAACGTTCAAATGAATAAATTGTAGAAAAAGTTTGTGGAAATAAAAACAGGGTTTGTGAAATAAGTCCAGACAGTTTGAGTGCATCATCAGAGTCTCTAAAATCGTAACCTGTGATTGTGTGAAAACAGCAGTTCAGTTCTGTTCCTCCTCTGACCCGTGAACGGTGGTTCAGCGTTTAAATGAACTAAAGGAACAACACACCAAGGAGCTCTGCAAACATGTGGATATCCTAACTGGGCTTCAGGGATAAAGGACACTCTTCTGAGGACCTGAATGTTCACATTTTGGACAGAGGACAGATGGTTGGGGGGGGGGGGGGGGGTTGAAGGAAGCTGTTTATGTAAAGAGAGAAGCCATCTTTAAACAGAGTAGGAAGTCTCAGATTCCAACTGTGTAAAACTTATAACCCAGCTTTAGGCCTGATACTCACTAATCAAGACCTTCAATCATGGGACCAGAGTGGCCCCTCTGTGGGTGGGACTAACAAAGACCCTAACGAACCTCTATTGTGAGGAATGAGAGGACAATCTGCATGTGAGCTTACAGAACACCTCTGCTTTATAACTTGAAGCCCACACTTTCTGTACTTTGAATTGAGAAAGCTCCTCATCTTCTACTACAAAGTGAAGTCCAGATGTTTTTGTCTTAAACCTTTGGTGAACGGTGGTTCTGCTGTGAAGCCTGAGCTGCAGATCCAAACTGGACTGGGTTTTAACGCTCACTAAAATCTGCTGCTGCCAACAATCTCACCGCAGAGTTCTCCATGGAGCCACATGTTGTGAAGCATCGTTTTATGGCTGTGGGGTGAGGAACGAGACAAAACTTGTTCCAAAACGGAAGAAGAAGAATCCAGCAGACAGCAGCACCTTCAGTGAATGCAGTCCAACAAGCTGTAGCCTGCTCATGGGTCTTCATGTGCCCGGCGGTGCTTCTTTTTCCCTGGAGACTTTTGTTCAGCGTGTTCAAGCGACTCGTCTTCTCCACCACGAAGTGCAACTTTTCCAGCTGATCTAGATCTCCACTCCAGTTTCCTCCCACAGACCAAAAACATGCATGTTAGACTGATTGGTAACTCTAAATTGTCCCTAGGTGAGAGAGTGAATGTTTATCTCGTTTGTCTCTACGTGTCCCTGTGATGGACTGGAGACCTGTCCAGGTGTCCCTGTGATGGACTGGAGACCTGTCCAGGTGTCCCTGTGATGGACTGAAGACCTGTCCAAGTGTCCCTGTGATGGACTGGAGACCTGTCCAGGTGTCCCTGTGATGGACTGGAGACCTGTCCAAGTGTCCCTGTGATGGACTGGAGACCTGTCCAGGTGTCCCTGTGATGGACTGGAGACCTGTCCAAGTGTCCCTGTGATGGACTGGAGACCTGTCCAAGTGTCCCTGTGATGGACTGGAGACCCGTCCAAGTGTCCCTGTGATGGACTGGAGACCCGTCCAGGGTGCACCCCGCCCCTCGCTCAGTGACATGGGCACCAGGGACCCCCGTGACCCAAACTGGAAGAAGCAGATAAAAGATAATGGATGGAGGGATCTAGATCTCCCAGACCTTTCCAACCAGGTCTTCACAGGGTCCATACCAGCAGTGAAGCACTTTAGCACCTCTCCTCTGGACTCCAGACTCTGTGGAGCAGCAGGAGACCCCAACATGCACTGGGATGTGAGGGATGTGCACGTGGCTGTGATGCATATTTGGTTGACAAATGATTCAAACTTTTGAACAACTTGATGTCAACGGATCACCTGGAACTTCAAGATGAAGTGAATAAAATAAATAGAATTTAATCAAAAGGCGATGAAGAGCCACTAGAAGAAGCTGAAGAGCTGCAGGTGTCCAACCCCGTGGTCAGGTGGTGCAGCGGTTGGCTCAGATGCTTCATTTAGAGTCTTTCGTGACTTGATTGTTGCAGCACAAACAGAAGTGTTGGTTTGAAAGTAGAAACATGTTGCTGTGATGTTGCTCTCCTCTCTCCACACCAGTGCATTAATCAGTGCATTCCACTCAAATTATTACCTGGATGCAAACTATTCCACTATCATACACTTTATTGCAATAAAAAATAAAGAAATACAGCAAAATCAAACGAAAGCCTTTACATCATCAAGTATAAAATTTGATGATATACTTTCAGTATTGATTGTGGTATTAAACCAAAAAGCTTGTTGTAAAATGATTGGAAACATGATTGAATTATCACAGAAATATTTTGAACATTAGAACTTTTGGATGAATTTGTCATTTTAGGAGATGAGCTAAATGAGTATGATGCTCATGTAAAACTTGTCAAATCTTCTCTGACAATACCAAACTTATTTTTCTGCTATTGACTTTTGTTTGGCGTGTCGTTTATTGGATTCAACAAATAAGTCTCAAGAAACAAAACGTATTGACAACTTCATTTACCGTATTTTTCACGGTATGTGTCTGTTTTTTGCACAAGTTACATGCCCCGAGACTTATATGCCGAAGCAACATATTTATGGATTTTTTTCCCATATTTATAAAAAATGAGTTTTCATTCATTGACTGAAAAAAAAATGTAACACTACCATTTTCAACCACTAGATGGCAGCAGAGTTGAAGGGCATGCCGTTGTATCATGTAATAGGTAAATGTGGCTATGACAAATTAAAAAAAGTTCAAGACAAATACAACCGGACTTTATTTATTATACTTTATGTTTGTCTTGAACTTTTTTGAATTTACCATGTCCTGGATGACTGAGAAGCTTCACCAGCTATTAATGACTCAATCGACCTGCCAAAGCCCCATAGCCTCCCACCTTCGTCCAGCTCACCTGGAGCAACCGTTAAATCAGCTTCATTTTGCTGCGCTGCCCCAGCGAAATGCAGCTGATTTGACCATTAAAGTGCAGTTTTTAAGTAAAAGTTCAAATGAGACACACCTTTACTGTAATGTCGAACAAACAAATAATTGTTTTTAAGTGTTTATCTTGTTGTATTGTATTTGTATTTAGTACACAGGATCCCAGTTACATCCAACAACAGGAAAAATATAAAGTGTAAAAAGAACAGTATATAATGATCTAAGATATACACTAAGATATATGCTAAATGAACGCCAAACAGTACGCTACAAGATCTAAGATATACGCTAGTATAGATATTATTAGTATCACTAATAATGCAAAACAATACGGCGTAACAGCAGCAGCCCGAAAATGAGTCTGTGTGAGCAGATGGGTACGAATGAATACAGCAGCACGAGATAATCAGCAGCATGAGATAATCAGCAGAATGGATAATCAGCAGAATGGATAATCAGTATGTATGCACTTTTTAATGTACTAATGTACTTTCTAAATAAATCTTGATGTGACTCCTGCTCCGCGGAGCCCATATGACTTATGAGTCACATGACTCACGGGGTAGAGGAGGAGCCCCCCGCTCCCGTTCTCTCGCTGCGAGCTTGTAACATGAAAAAAAGGGGTGGCGGGGTTAAGTACAATCATCCATGATTTTTACATACACAGAAAGATTTTTCAACTTTTATTCAAATATGTACCAGTAACATAGGCTATGTCCAGTACGGTAAATGTTTTTTTTTTTTTCCTAAACAATGCCGTTAACACGGCTGGTAAAAAATAAATAAATAAATAAAGTCGGATGGAATTTTCTTTGAGTGAAAGTGAAACAGTTTCCTCAGTCTGGAGGTGACAGACTACTTGCTCTGATGGATGGATGGATGTTGTGTAGATATAATTCAAGACGTCTGAACACCTTGTTAACAGGTGTGCAATCAAAATAATGAATGCAGGTCGACCTCGATCAAAGGAACAATGGTTCTTGGCAATGTTGTGATCCCCTCGCTTGAATAAAAAAAAAACAGTCAGTTAAAATCACAATTCTGTAACATTTATTTCACGTTTGTGAACAATAAACAACAGTGTGGAATTATGGCATGTACAGAATATGAGTGCATAAACCAACAGTATTATTTCAGAAAGGGGATAATGCAAGATCGTTTAAAACTTTGAGAAAATATGTTGTTCAAATTTAGGACTAATGTTAAAGTTTAGGTAAACTTTATCTTGAGCTCGTAAACTAACGCGTCTAGAAACTTAGTTGGCACTGAGAGTAATTCCTTCCAACAGGAGTAAGATGGTTAATCCTACCAAGAAAACGTCCTCACTCATTACCACAATGGATATGATGCGAAAGCCGGAGGTTTGTGCTGTCACTGAAAGGGTCGTCTTTTCCTTCAAGGACCACGTCTCGTCCAACAAGGCAGTGCCTCATCATTCCGGGGTGTTTGAGGGAGTTTGGTGGACTTTCTCCATTTCAGCTGGTCCGTTCCTGGACGGGGAGAAGCCAGGCTCGCCAGCAGCTCAAAGCCTGCGTTTGGAAAATAACAAGACTACCCATCTCCTCCCCTTCGGCTCAGTTTTACCTGATGCAAAAGGGGGGGGGGGGGGGGGGGTCTATGTAAATTGTATCCAATCAATGCAACTTACCAACAGTAGGTGTAAACCAAGTTGCAAAAATTAATTTTGATCATAACTCCTCCTGTCAAAGTTTAGAGGGAAACGACTTTGTTTACACAGCAACACCATTTCTTCACAGATGTAAGTTTGGGTTTTCCCTGTTACAAAACAGGCGTTTTGTTCGAAGCTCTGTGCAGCTGGCTAACGTCCTTCGTTGTCATGGTGACCACACCTCTGTTGTCCTGGGGGTATGACAAAGTTCAGAACTGTTTCTTTGATATAGACTTTTTGGAGACACAAAGTCTATCTTTCTCTGGAAGGAGAGTTGATTATCAGCAAGGGTTTAATTGCCATACAGTCATGTTATCTCTGAGGCCTGATCAGGACGATGAGTCACCCTAACTCGTAGATTAGCAAAGAAAGGGTGGAAGAGTTTAGTTACAGTGTCACTGAGGATAGGATGTGGACTTCTCTGAGGGACAGGATGTCCTGAATCATCCCGACTCGTCCTTATGAACCATAAAACACTACAGTTGTTTCAGTTGCAATATTTTTTAATTTTCTGACCTTTCAGTTGGAATCTGCTTGGTGGAACACCACATTCAGAATACACAACCTACAGATGTGGACAGTAACTGTGATAGTGGACCACAAACCTCCACACCTCACAGACTATTTAACAACACACCAGAGAACTGAACACTTCAGTGTGACCTCTCGTGGGTCTTTAATAGGTCATGGCACAAATCCTGTACTGGGTTTTTGATTTTGTGGCAACTCAATGGGGGCAAGCAAACTCTACATGAGTTAGGTGCAGGATGGTGTCAGGTAATTTTAGGTTCATGCATAAAAGTAGCCTAATACTACAGTAAAGTTGGAGTTTAACCTGGGCAATTCTGACATCATTTCATCCATATTTTGACGTTATGACATGATGTAAACATTCAGCTTACAGGAATGACATTGTAGTAATTAAAAAAATAACTGCACAGGTTAGTCTCATTAAAACACAATTAGTTAATTTGCACAAGAGATGTGTTAATTAGGAAATTAACTGATTAATGAAATCACAATTCCATCATGAATTAAACAAGTAACATTTTATGGGGTCTGAACATTGAAATTTCCAAGTAATTTGATTGGTTGGTTGGTTCTCTCCACATTTTGCACAGCCGTCATATTGATAAAGATAGGGTCCTCAGTGGCTAACAAGACGGCTAATGTTTTAGCCGTCTTGTTCCACAGCTGAGATGGGATCGTGTCTTAGCAATATGATAAGCTGTTGATTTATTAATGGTGCGCTCTCACTGTTCCACTCATAAGGCACAGCACAGCTAACCGAGTTCTGAACCATGGTTTGTTTCAAGGAAGGAGGCTGAGGTCTGTCAGACTTGCAGCTTCACGGTTATGAGTGGAGACTCACTACCGCAGTTCACACACGCTCACGAACGTGTGGGCTGCGCAGCTGAATGGACTGTACTTATATAGAGCCTTTCTATCTTATCAAGACACTCAAAGCTCTTTACAACACAATATGTGCCTCATTTACCCATTCATGTGCTCTACTAGATCTCTAAAAAGAATAATCAGAGCTTTATCACAATCATACACCGATGGGACACACATTGGAGGCAATGCCCTCAGAAATATATTTTTGTTAGCACAAGCACAACTTATACTTATATATGTAAATAAATGTCTAAAAAACAAACTTTAATATAGGAAGTTTATTTTTGAGACATTTATTTTGTACAGTTACAGCTATTGTTAATAAATGTGCCTGTGTGACAATTGGAACAAAGCTTTGACTCAAATATATTTTTATTATTTTATGGAAAGAAAAATATATTTAGATAAATATTGTATATCACAATTTATCTTAAAATATTGAGATATTAAATTTTGGTCCATATCAAAGTCCCCGAGGCTCAATGGGATTAACCTGTATAAATAAAGATTGAATATCGCCCAGTCCTAATACTTACAATAGGAATGTTTTCACTCCTGTGTGGATTCTCATGTGTCTGTCTAAATTTTTCTTCAGGCTAAATTTTTGTCCACAGACTTCACAAGGAAACGGTCTGTCTCCAGTGTGGACTCTCATGTGTGTGTTTAAATGTGTCTTCTGACTAAATCTATGTCCACAAACTTCACAAGGAAATGGTTTGTCTCCAGTATGGACTCTCAAGTGGTCATTTAAATGTGCTTTCCGACTAAACCTTTGTCCACAAACTTCACAAGTAAACGGTTTGTCTCCAGTGTGGACTCTCAAGTGTTCGTTTAACGTCGTCTTCCGACTAAATCTACGTCCACAAAGTTCACAAGGAAACGGTCTGTCTCCTGTATGGACTCTCATGTGCATGTTTAAATGTGTCTTATGACTAAATCTTTGTCCACAAACTTCACAAGGAAAGGGTTTTTCCCCCGTGTGGACTCTCAAGTGTTCAATTAAAGTAGTCTTTCTACTAAATCTTTGTCCACAAAAATCACAAGGAAACGGTTTGTCTCCTGTGTGGACTCTCATATGTGTATTTAAATGTGTCTTCCGACTAAATCTTTGTTCACAAACTTCACAAGGAAACGGTTTGTCTCCAGTGTGGACTCTCAAGTGTTCATTTAAAGATGTCTTCCGACTAAATCTTTGACCACAAAGATCACAAGGAAACGGCTTGTCTCCTGTGTGGATTCTCATGTGTGTGTTTATATGCGTCTTCCGACTAAATCTTTGTCCACAAACTTCACAAGGAAATGGTTTGTCTCCAGTGTGAACTCTTAAGTGTTCGTTCAAAGTTGTTTTATGACTAAATCTGCGTCCACAAAGATCACAAGGAAACGGTTTGTCTCCTGTGTGGACTCTCATGTGTTCCTTTAAAGTTGCCTTCTGACCAAATCTTTGTCCACAAAGATCGCACAGAAATGGTTTGTCGCCTGTGTGGATTCTCATGTGTGTGTCTAAATGTGTCTTATGAATAAATCGTCGTCCACAAAGTTCACAAGGAAAAAGTTTCTCTCCTGTGTGGACTCTCATGTGTCTGTCTAAATTTGTCTTCCGACAAAATTTTTGTCCACAAACTTCACAAGAAAACGGTTTGTCTCCTGTGTGGACTCCCATGTGGGCTTTTAAAGTGGTCTTCCGACTAAATCTATGTCCACAAAGTCCACAAGTAAACGGCTTGTCTCCCGTGTGGACCCTCATGTGGGAATTTAAAGTCGTCTTCCGACTAAATCTTCGCCCACAAAGCTCACAAGGAAATGGTTTCTCTCCTGTGTGAATTCTCATGTGTCTGTTTAAATGTGTCTTAGGACTTTGTCCACAAACTTCACAAGTAAACGGTTTGTCTCCTGTGTGGACTCCCATGTGGGCTTTTAAAGTTGTCTTATGCCTAAATCTATGTTCACAAGGAAACGGTTTGTCTCCTGTGTTGACTCTCATGTGTGTGTTTAGATGTGAGTTGAAAGTAAATATTTTACCACAGTCATCACAGCTTATTGATTTTGGCTTTGGCTGGACTTTGCTGCATGACTCTATATTTTTCTTCTCTACAACACATTTCTTTTTAAGCATACAGCTTGAAGACTTCACTCCTGAATGACTTGTCATATGTTTTTGAAGAGTCCGGTTACTGACATACTGCTTATCACACTCAAAGCAGCTCAAAGATTTGTTAACAGTTTTTACCTCCGATTCAGGAGCCCTGCTCTCCTTCCAGTCTTTCATACTGTCTTCATGTTCTGATTCAGAGTCTGATGAGTTCTTTAGTAGAGAGTCAGGATTGGTCATTTCACCATCTTCTTCATCATCCTCACTAACGACAGTCTTTGAAGAGCTTGAACTGTGAGTCTTTAAATCTGGGTTCCTGGAATGTTTTTTTTTATCCTCCTCACTCTTTAAAGGAACTGTAGAGACCAAAAACCTGATATTGGTCTCCTCCATGTTGAGTTAGTCTCCCACCAGACTGGTCCAAGGGTCTTCTCTTCCACTCTACGATACGAGGCTCAGGGTCCCGCTGGTCCACATCAGACCTTCAAACTTCAGGAGCTTCTTCTTTTAATCAGCAACAAACACAGGCAGGACACACTGAAACACATGTACATTAAGGACAATGTTACTTCAGCCCACACGCGTGAGCATGTGCACACACACACACGCATGCACACACCCACAGTATTTTACCCTCACAATCATCATCTTCTGTCTGCATATACACTGATAATACAAGCATATTACTACAAAATAACAATTTAAAAGGCAGAAAATAATTGCAATTTTAAGTTATGTTCTGAGCAAAGTACCACATAAGTTTTTTTTTATTTCACCCTTTTGAATTCAACTAAGTTCTTAATAACAAAATCACCCTTCCAGTGTCATCAACTTGCACAAAATGAAGGTTGCAAGGTTATGAATCACAATTTATGAACTTTCTTGTTGCTAAAAATGATTAAAAACTACATGGTTGGTAATAATACAGGCAAACAAAATCAACAGAATCAATGTGAAAACTGTAATTTACAAACATCCTGATGTATGCTCAATAATCCAGGTATAAAATCCTAAAAAAGTTAAATCTGGTCCTCTGGACATTCAAAACACAACAACAACAACAACAACAACAACAACAACAACAACAACAACAACAACAACAACAACAACAAATGTAGAAACGTTTTGTCTTTCATCCGAAAGACTTCCTCAGTCTGAGGTGCTGTATTCAGCTCAGTCTCTTAAATAGCACCTTCTCAGAGTGGATCAACCAGTTTGCTGCTGACAACCAAAACCAGCTGATCACATGATCAAGAAGGACCATCAGCCTAACTATGGATTATTAGCACACTGATGGCTGTTTATTATTCACAGGGGGCTGAGTGATACTAGCAATAACAGCATTGTAAGAAGGGGACAGTTGAACCCGGAGGCTCCACCCCTGTTTAATGATGGACGGTTTCTTTTCACAAAGATGGCCTCCTTTACTCCTCTCTCAAACCATCGTTCCTCTCTGTCCAGGATGTGAACATCTTCATCCCTGAAAGAGTGACCGCTGGCCTGGAGATGAGTGTAGACCGCAGAGTCCTGGTCTGATGGTGTTGATCTTCTGTGCTGGGCCATCCTTTTGGCCAGTGGCTGTTTAGTTTCCCCGATGTAAGACTGATCACAGCCCTCCTGACACTGAACAGCATACACAATAATTTGGGGGTTTAAAAGCCACTGGGACGTTGTGTTTAGAACGTGGTTTACCTAAAATCCACAAACAAGGTGTACCTTTAAGACCTATTGTTAGCATGATTAACTCTCCATCATCCTCTTCCATTAAATATTTTTGTTTTGTTCTGTAATTAATAGGCATTATGTAATTCAGTGCTCAATTTAGGCTGCATAGTTAAAGGCACATTGATAACTAATATTTTGGCTGAGGGGGAATTGAGTTGGGGTGTAGTTAGTCCAAACAGGCACTAGGAGCAACCCTGGTCCAAAGTATCTGTATATTCTTCACCCATAGTTTGTGTGCGCAAGAAGGATGGGAGTCTCCGCTTGTATCAGAGTCAGAGTCAGAGTTTCTTTATTGTCATTCGCACCTCATGTGGTACATGTGGTGGAGCGAAATTATGTACACAAGGTCCCAGTTTGTATGTGGATTATCGCGAGCTGAACCAGAAATCCATTCTAGATCGTCATCCCAATCCTCAGGTGCAGGATATGCTTAATAACCTGAGTGGAAGTGCATGGTTCTCTGTCCTGGACCAGGGCAAAGCATACCATCAGGGTTTTCTGGAGGAGAGTAGCAGACCATGGACCACATTCATAACACCTTAGAGATTATAAGAGTGGATCAGGATTTCCTTTGACCTGTCCTCTGCTCTAGCAGAGTTCCAGCACAGTATGGAGGAGTGTCTTGCAGGTCTGAGGGATGAAACATCTCAGATTTATTTGGATAATAATCTAGTCCACAGCCTGTCTTTTGAGGATCACCTACATGGTATGAGAGAGGTCTTCAAAGACAAAGTGAAATTCCTGGGAAATATTGTATCCAAGGATGGCTACTGCAAGGATCCTGCTGAGATTGCACCAGTATAAGCACTCAAAGATCACATACCAAAAACAGTGGGTGATTTGAGGAAAATATTGGGGTTCCTATCATACAATCATCCATATATTCCCAACTTCTCATGCATTGCTAAACCCCTATACAGTCTGTTGGCCACAGAGAAGAAATCTAGGAATGTGGTGAAGGGAGGAGGCTCAAAAACAAACCAAGAAAAACACAAGAATTCAGACCAGCTTCCCTCGAGCCATCCAACTGAATGGACAAAACATCATAGGAATGTACTCTGCCAGCTGTTGGAGTATTTAACTCCTCCACTATTAGGTTACCCTGACTTTGAGAAACCATTTATATTATACTGTGATGCCTCTCAGGAAGGCCTGGGTGCAGTACTATACCAAAGACAACAAGACAAACTTGTGGTCATAGGTTATGGGTCAAGAACACTAACTCCTCCAAAAAATAATTATTACCTTCATTCTGGGAAGTTAGAGTTCGAGTTCTTAGCAATGACGTGGGCAATCTGAACGATACAGACAATAACCCTTAACCTATGTTTTAACAACGGCCAAGCTAAATGCCACTACACACTGCTGGATAGCTTAGTTAGCAGACTTTAAATTCTCCATCAGGTGTAGTTGGTCCAAACAGGCATTAGGAGCAACCCTGGTCTTAAGTATCTGTGTTGGGAACATATGCAGCTCAGTAGAACACCTGCAGTCATTAGTGTGAAGCACGTCGGACTTACCTGTGCCTGTTGTTTGTATTTTCAGAGAAACGGAAAGTAAAAAGATTATTTGCAACCAAATGCACGCCTCGACGTCTTCATTGTTTGAGTGTGCAACAATTATTTCACAAAGAACTTATTTTTATTCTTTATCTTGCAGCAGTCCCAGCTGAATGCATGCAGCTCAAAAACTTCACTTTGTTTTCTTTAACTACATACAAGATCATGAAATCTGAACGACAATTGTGAAAAGGGCCTATTCCAATTACATACATCACAGAGAGAACAGACGTGAATGTGGGGGTTCTCATTGTGAACTTGCGGGGTCATGGCTACTGGACCCTAGGAGCTGTGAGATGAAAAAAAGAGGTGTGTTCTGCAGATGAAGGTTGTTAGTGCCTGGTCGCATCTCTATCAAATCCTGCGTAAGAGGGCCTGACCGTAGTATTGTTTGGGTAATACTCAGGAGAAAAGATCAACAAAAAAAGATCAACAAGCTCATAAAAAAGGCTGGCTCAGTTCTGAGGACTCCTCTAGAACCTTTGGAGATGATTGTACAAAAAAAGGATTCTTCATAAAATGAAGAACATTGTAGACAACCCTCAGCATCCTCTTCATCAGACTGTCATAAAACAACACAGTGTCTTCAGTCAGAGGCTTCTTCAGATCTGCTGTAGGACAGACAGTGGTCTGTTCTACAACAGATATATCAAGAGATCCTTCCTGCCCACAGCCATCAGCATCTATAACAACTCTTTAATGAAACCAGGATGATGAGTTACCACAACATATAATTTCCCACTGGGATTAATAAAGTATTTTTGAATTGAATTGAGGGCAGCACAGTGGCGCAACTGGTAGAGCTGCTGCCTCTCAGCGAGCAGGTCCCTGGTTCAAATCCTGGTCCGGGGGCTTTTCTGGGTGGAGTTTGCATGTTCAGCTGATCTAGATCTCCACTCCAGTTTCCTCCCACAGACCAAAAACATGTATGTTAGGCTGATTGGTAACTCTAAATTGTCCCTAGGTGAGAGTGAGAGAGTGAATGGTTGGTTGTCTCAATTGTGTCCCTGTGATAGATTTGAGACCCATCCAGGGTGTACCCCGCCCCTCGCACAGTGATTGCCAGACATGGGCACCGGCGACCCCCGTGACCCAAAATGGAAGAAGCAGGTAAAAGATAATGGATGGATGAATTAATTGAGTCTAAGGGGGTCCAATTACCAGTTAGACAAGGGCTGGAGGGGTGCTCAATCCTAAGATGAAAACAATGTAAATAATGCCACCGTAGTCAATGGAGGGAGTCGCAGTTACAAGGCGTTTCCCTATGAAAATATGTGGCACAATAAAATACCTCGGCAGCACGGTGGTACAGTTGGTAGAGCTGCTGCCTCTCAGCGAGCAGGTTACCCTGGTTCTAAACCCGGTCTGGGGGCCTTTCTGGGTGGAGTTTGCATGTTCTCTCTGTGTATGCGTGGGTTTTCTCCAGGTACTCCAGTTTCCTCCCACAGACCAAAAACATGCATGTTAGGCTGAATGGTGGCAACTCTAAATTGTCCCTAGTTTGTCTCGTTTGTCTCTATGTGTCCCTGTGATGGACTTGCGACCTGTCCAGGGTGTCCCCTGCCTCTTGAACAGTGATGGCTGGACATGGGCACCGGTGACCCCCGTGACCCAAAATGGATTAAACGGGTAAAGATAATGGATGGATGGATGTTATCTGCTTTATGTAGGGGGATAACTTGGGCTATTTTCAATTTATCTGGGAATGTACCTGTTCTGAATGATGAATTACATAAATATGTTAATGGAGACACAATACCATCAATTACTTTCTTTACTATAGTCATATCAATATCATCACAATATGTTGAGAGTTTATTTTTACACGTTAACTATTTCAATAATTTCTCTTTCTTCTACCTTTTTCAGAATGACTGAATTTAGATGTTCAGGGCCACAGTCCTAAGCTACTCTGTACTGCTTAGTGTGTTTATTTCCTTTGCCAGATTTGAACCCACGTTGACAAAGAAATAGTTAAATCTGTTGACAACCTCATTCTTATTTGTAATCGTCATATTATTTTCTGTAAAATAATCTGGATAATTACCTTTAGTTTGTTTATTTCTAATAATACTATTTAATATATTCCATGTTAGGGCTGGGCCATATTTTGTTCATG